GCTCTCCCCACCACGACCGCGCGAAGCCGCCCGGGGCCCGTTACCCCGCGCGCCGCCACCGGTGAGGACGCGCCGCCCTCGGCTGAGGCGACCCACGGCAGCGGGAGGCCGCGGACCTGAGACTTACTCAGGGGTCGGGTGCTCGGGATCGTAGAAATCCCCCATCTTCGGTGGCGGCTGCGACGGCAGCTGCTTCATGAGGAGCAGCTGGAGGCGGCGACGCTAGCCCCCTCCCCGCGGCAGGCCGAGGCGGGGGAGGGGACCGGAGGGGAGGAGGCCGCGGGTCCGATCGCGGCGGCGGCAGGGGCGGCCCGCGTCGCTGGCTGGCTGGCTCGCCCGCCTGCTCGCTCCCTCCCTCCCTCCCTCCGGCAACCGCCCGCCGCTCTCTCCCTCACACACTCCCGGAGCAACGCGCACCCCGCCCGCCCTGCAGCCTTGCAGGCCCAGCCCCTTAAAGAGACACGCACAGGCAGCCCACCGGCCGCCAGTCGGCGCGCCAGCCCCAGCCCGCCGACCCTGGCAGGGGCGGGTGCAACCCGCGGGCCGGGCCGGGCCTAGCCTGCGGCTTCCCGGAACAATAAGGCCCAGGGCTGAGTGTTGTAGGCGGGTCCCCGAGCTGCAGGGCCGGCGCCCGCCGAGCTGGCCGAGGCCCTCGGAGCCCTCGGAGAGCCGGGCCTCCAGGCTGGGAGGTAGCGCAGCTGCCGCTCTCGCCCCTGTATTTCTTCTCCCTTGCCTCTTCATCCCGCTCTCAACGCCAACCGAAGCCAAGCTAAGCTGGGGAAGCTTCTCGGGCCGGGCTCCTCGGATACGCCCTCCTCCTGCCAGCCTCCCGCCGGGTCTGCTCCCGCCGCCCCCACCACCGTGTCCCCGCCACCTCCTGCCTTCCTCCTCTCCGCAGTATTCTGCCCTCACCCCAAAAGTCTGAAAGGCTGTGTTTGTTCTTAAGGCCTCGGAGGCAGTGCCTGGGGAAAAGGTTATTTATTACCTTCTTGCAAAAAAGAAAAAGTTAGATAACGTGAAACTACGAGCTTTTTGTTTCTGGAAGGAGAAGCAGGATTACGCGAGAAACTTAGCTAAACGACGCTGAATGTATAGCAGTTGCTTATCACGAAAGTGGCAGTTAATCGAGTTCAAATCTTTGAAATTTTTTTAGCCACTAATTTTTTAATTAGATTTACCAATAAATTGAAATATGATCTAACAGAAATCCTTCACTGGCTAACTTTGCCTTGTCGTTGATGTTGTTTAGACAGGGTCTTCTAGAGTTTAGACTTTCCTTGAACACTTGAATGCACACCCTCTTGAGTGCTGGGATTCTAGCTTTTAAAGTGTATTTTTTAAATTGTGTATGTATGGTGTGTGTTGAGGCACACACATGCACATGTGTGGAGACCAGATGACAAGGACAAGGAGAGTCCATTCTCTCCTCCCACAGTGTGGGTCCCAGGGATGTAACTTACTCATAAGTCTAGGCAGCAAGTGTTTTTATTGACTGAGTCATCTCACGGGCTCCTAAAATGTATTTTTTTAACTTGTATGTAGACTCGCAGTATCTATTTCTATCATTTCATATAGAGGTTAATTTTTTTTTTCCTGGTAACTTTAGGCATATCATGGAGATTCAAGGTCACCAAACTCTCTAGGTTTTAATCTCCCACAGCCATTTTGTTTTGCTTTGGTTCTAGGGTTTTCACTTGTGGCACTGGAACTTGCTGTGTACCCTAGGCTCACCTTAAACTCAATCCTTCTGCCCCAGCCTCCCTGATGATGGGATCCCGGGTGCCAGATGGCACACCTGCTGAAGATGAAAGTTTAAATGTGAACAGATTCACTGATCAAAGCGGAAATGAGGTGCTTGTGAAACCCTGAGCTTCCTCTTTTTCTTGACTTCTTTGTATGTTTGTTTTTGAGACAGGGTTTTGTGCTTCTGAGCTTGCCTTGACCTCTGTGTGTAGCCAATGATGACTTGAATTTCTCATTCTCCTGCATCTACCACTCAGTGCTGAGATTATAGGCATGAATCACCGCAACCAGTTCATATGGTGCTCGGGATTGAACTCCAGGCTTGCTGAATACTAGACTAACACTCTACCAACTGAGAAACATCCCCAGTCCATGAAACCCTAAACTTTAACAGATGTCAACATATTCTAGGTTATTACAGTCCAGTGGATAACTTCTGGCACTATGTAAACCAATACCAGGTAATTTCTAGCCATATGACGCTGAGCATGGCTGTTTGTCTGGCTTCTACTGCCCAGTGTATACAATAGGAGTGTATCTACCACACAGATAATATTGTGAACACGTTTGTACAGTGCCTCTCATTAAACAGTAAGGTATCTCTAAGGCTTTTTTTTAGATAGATTCAATATGTGTCCCAGGTTTGCCTTGAGCTTGACGTTCTACTGCCTCAGCCTCTCTGTGCCACCACAGCTCTTAGATTTGGAATGCTTTGCCTTAAATGCCACATAAGCCTATGGCAGCTGCTTGGCATTAGAATAGGCTGTTTTAGGTGGAAACTATAAGTTAAGAGGAACCTAAAATGAGGTGTGCCAGTTTCCTATTTCCTTAAAAACAAAGTAAGCAGTTCTTTAGCAGGGAACAGAAGAGCAGTACTTGCCAGCGTGATGGTAACATTAGTCTGGTCAGAACCCAATGGAGTAAACATGTCAAACCGTGGGGGTCAGTGGAAATTGTAAGACCCATGGCTCTTTGATTCAAACTTTTCAGGCAGCATCTTTGAGACAGTATTCAGGATTCTCTGGAGTCTAGTTTGCTGTGCACATCCCAGGTTGGCCTCAGCCTCCAAGCACTAGGATTACAAGTTTGTACTACCACACACAGTTTAAATTCAATCAAAGAAAATGCAGCCTCGGAATACATCCTGGTAGAGAGCAGGGGCATCAAGGTCATCCTCAGCTACAGAGATTGGGGCCAGCCTGTGCTATATTAGACCCTGATTTGGATATCTTTTTTCTTTTCAGCCCAGACTTGCCTTAAAATTCCCTATCCTCCTACCTCAGGTTCCATATTTGTTGTGATTGGCTTCCTGACCAAAGCAGTAAATACTTTTTAGCTTATTGGATACTTTTCCTTTTTTTTAAAAGACTGGGTCTCACTTTGTAGACCAGGCAGGCCTTAAACTCAGAGATACACCTGCTAATGCTTCCTGAGTGCTAGGATGAAAGGCATGAGCTACCATGCCCTGTAATACCATGCTTTTATACAAAAAGCCCTCCAATGTGTTTAAAGGAAAAGTTGGTTTTGGGGATTTAGCTCAGTGGTAGAGTGCTTGCCTAGCAAGCACAAGGCCCTGGGTTCAGTCCTCAGCTCTGGGGAAGGGGGAAGGGGGTTCCAAATCCCCAACATGAACCCTATTCCCACTCCTAGTGTACTGAGTACCATAAAAACCTTGAGAATTGCTTCTAGCATCTCCCATAGGTCCAGACCATATCCATCCCAGCAGACCTCAGGGTGGCTACTAGTGACCCCTAAAGTCAACTTTAGGGTCTCATGAAAAAGGAAAGAAAGCCAAAGCATCATTCCACACAGGTATGTCCTAGGTTTTGGTGAAGAGCTGGAAAACATTTAGAATAGAGGAACACCAGCTGATCCCGAGCACATTCTCCAAAACTATGTTTTCCCTCCCAGTGCTGCAAATTGAACCCAGTGCCTTGTATATGCTAGGTGTCCTAGTTAGCTTTGTCAATTTGACCTAGCCTAGAGTCACCTGAGAGGAAAAGCATCAGTTGAGGAATTGACTAGATCAGATTGGTCTGTGGGGAATTATAAATGGAGGATGGCCTCGCCCACTGTGGGCAGCACATACCTAGGTAGCTGGTCCGGGCTATATAAGGAAACTAGCATAATTTCTGCTCTGATTTTCCTACATGATGAATTGTATCCTGGAAGTATACGCCATTTCCTCCCCTAGGTTGCTTGTGGTCCAAATGTTTTATCACAGCAATGGAGTGAAACTAGAACACTAAGCAGCCCCTACCACTGAACTATATCCACAGCCAATATAAAGACTTTGAGCTAAAATATCGACTAATATACAAATGAATATATACTGACTGATGCAACACAGGTGTCAAGTAATTAAATGTGTTCTAAGATATCACTGGGTGGTACCTTCTTCCCAAATGGCATCTTTTTCCTATGCACCCAGGCCAGAGTTCTGACTCAAACGGGAACCTGACTAAGGCTCTGGGAAGACAAAAGGTCATTCCCCGTGAGTCCAGTGTTGAACTGGGATTGAGTGGGAGGCTACTTCCTACCCACTACCCACTTCTTGCCTACCTCTCTACCGAATCCTTCCCCCGGTAATGATTGTCTCTCATGAACAGGAAGGCCACTGTTTAGGATATGTTGGGTGGCCAGCAAACTCTCAGCATCGGCTTGGCTCTGCCCCCACTGCTGAGATTAACACGCATGCAGCCATGCTTTCTATGCATATATAAGGAATTCAAATGTGGGTCCTCACGCTTGCAAGAACAAGCACTCTTCCTCACTTAGCCATGTCGTCTGTCACAGCTCATACCGTCCTCGTATCCGAGGGCCTGAAGTTACCTCTGAGGTGTGATCTGGAATATTTTCTCTCACTGCTTCCCTTGACAGGGCTTCCACAGAATTCCATGGTAGGCTCTGTCATCCTGGGCATTCAAGGATATCACATAGAGGACTGCTATCCTACCATGTTCAAGGTCAAAGCCTTGGCCCACAATATCAGGAAGAAAGATTGCCCGGAAGTTCTAAATCTCACTCAGCAGAGACTGCATTTCTCAGCCCCAAGGTGCACTGGTCAGCTGGGAAGCCCCCAGAGGGCCTGTGTTTGTCCTGAGTGAAGCAGGAGCTCTTTCCCTGTGGTACCATCCCCAAGGACACAAGCCCCAGAGCCTGAGGACTTGACTCAGGAGTAGTTTTCCTCTTCCCTGTTCAATCCTGCTAGGGTGACCCCTGTTCCTGTCCAGGGTGACCTAGTCACCTTCACTTGTGTTTATCTGTAGTCACAAACTGAGAAAGAAGGAAGGAGGCAAATCAGAGAAGCTGCAACACCTATTCCACGTGTGCTTGGCTGGAAAGGTGTAGGCTCTAAGGTCAGGCACTCCTGGGCACAGGGACCCAGTTCTGCCTCTCCCTTTTGTAGGTCACTTAACCGTTACCTGATCCTCTCCTGGTTGCCAAGGAAGAAGGATGGGTTGAGAGAACTTAAGAAGTAGTTTCACACCAAGCTCATCTCAGGATGACCACTGAAGAGAAGGAAGAGGTTGCCAGGAGCCTGGGTTACTGTTTTGATTTCCTACTTAAGGCTCAAGTGGCTTTTAGTTTTTATTTGTTTGAGAGGGGGTTCTGACCTTGAACTAGATATGTAGCTGAAGGTGACTCTGAACTACTGATCCTCCTGTCACCACAACCCAAGTGCTGGGACTGCAGGCCTGTCCTGCCATGCCTAGCTACAATATTAACTATTCTTTTTCTTTTGGGTGGTGCTGGAAGAGTTTCATGAATGCTAGGCAAGTGTTGTACTACTGAGCTACACTCCCAATCCTCCTCCCATCCCGTGTGTGTGTGTGTGTGTGTGTGTGTGTGTGTGTGTGTGTGTGTGTGTGTGTGTGTGTGTGTGTCCTAGGATTACAGATGCATACATCATAGGGACCGAATCCCAGGTGTAATGCTTGCTAGGCAAACACCAGGACTAGGTTTTAGCTACAACCTGTACATAATGAAGATGTCCTTTCAGACAGGAAATAAAAGTTTTTGGAATAATACTTAAAGTCCAAACTAGAAAGTAATTTTATCTTGATTTTACGTTTGGTAGCAAATTAAAACCGAAAGTATTCTGTGGAGACAAGCAAGGGTGTCCTTTGGAGGATGTTCCTCCTAGCAGGCAGGCAATTGTGTGTTCTCTGGGTTTGGTCCTGGCTTGCAGCAGAGTGAGAGGCTGGAGCTCTGAGCACGTGGTTTAGCAGCTTCCTTAGGACATGTTAGAGTTGCTGGTCTTCAAGCTATTGAGGAGACTATTTTCTGTGTGACTGTTGGATGCCCACCATGGTTTTCATATAACTGTGCTGGAAGAAAAGGATGAAGAAAGGGGAACTTGATCAGGAAGTATGGTCTTAGCAAGGACTCACAAGCTAGGCCACTCACATTCAGTCCATCATTTCTTCCTGCAAACATCACAGTCTGGAGACAAAACCTCTCTGGATGCACAGCAAATTCTATTAGAAATAGCACTGCATTCAAACACTTTCTTCTTTCAATCTATGGAAAGTGTGTAAAACTGTTTGAAATAGCCTGGCAGTTATGTTTAAAAGGAGACATGCACTGGGCATAGTGATGCACACCTATGCACACCTTCAAATCTCAGGACTTAGGAGGCAGAGGCAGGTGGATCTCTGTGAGCTCTGGTCTACATAGTGAGTTCCAGGACAACAGGGCTACATAGTAAGACCTTGTCTTGAAAAAGAAAAAAAAAAAAAGGCATGCATGTTTCAATGGCCTATTTAAAATCTGACAGAGGCCAGGTGGTGGCACACACCTTTAATCCCAAGCATGCGGCAGGCAGAGGCAGGCAGATCTCTGTGAGTTTGAGACCAGCTTGGGCTACAGAGTAAGTTCCAGGAAAGGCACCAAAACTACACAGAGAAACCCTGTCTGGAAAAAAAAATCTGACAGGGAATGGACTCAAAAAAGGAAAAGATGTTATAGTTTGGATATTAAAGTATCCCTCAACAGTGTCCTGTATTTGAAAGCTTAGTTGTAGTAGGATATTATTTTAAGGTGTGTTACTTTTGTTTATGTTGCATTTGTTTAACTCTGTGATGCTGTGTACTGTACCTGTGTAAAACACCCGGTGGTCTAATAAAGACCTGGCCAATAGCAAGGCAGGAGAAAGGGTAGGGGGGCTGGCAGGTAGAGAGAATAAATAGAAGGAGACATCTAGCAGCCAGAAAAGGAGGAGGACTCCAGGGGCCAGCCATCCAGCTACACAGCAAGCCACGGAGTAAGAATAAAATTTACAGAGGTAAGGGAAAAACCCAGAGGCAAATGGTAGATGGGATAATTTAAGTTAAGGAAAGCTGGCTAGAAACTAAGCCAAGCTAAGGCCAGGCATTTATAAGTAACAATAAGCCTCCATCTGTGTGTGAATTTACTTGGGAGCTAGGTGGCTGACCCCTAAAAAAGTAAAAAACAACACTTAATCTCCACTGGTAGATCCAATCATTGAGTCATTGAGAGGGCTCTGACCTGATAAATGGATCTATCCTCCAATGGCTTCATAACCTGATAAAATTATTGGAAGGCTGTGGG